TGGCCACGCCCCCAAACCGATTCCCCGGTCCCCCAGTTGCTCCCCACCCGATGCTCGCTCACACAGCTTGCCCGCTGGTTGCCCTGCCTAGTCACTCCTCCCTTCCTATGTGGCACGCTGGGCTCTCATGGCTTGCCTAACCTGACTTCCCCACGTGGTGCCTGCACCCCAACTGAGCAGCCCTGATCTGCCTGCTCACAGGTAAGCCTGCGAGTCCCGCTAGGCCCTCGCCCACCGCTTGGGGCCTTTCCGTGCTTCTGCCCCACCGCCTGGGACCTTTCCGGGCAGGAGGAAGCCAAGGTGGGATGCTGTTTTCCGGCCAGTCCAGAGGGCGGGGGTGAAGCAGCGGCGGCGGCGTGGCTATGGGAAACAGCCCCAGGAGTTCCCGGCCTCCCTTTCAGGGCTCCTCCACACCCCCTCAGCCCCAGCAGAGGAGAGAAAACGAATGGCTTTACGTTGGCTTTCTCCCTCCCTTTCGGGGCTCTTCGGCGCCTCTCTCCGCCCCAGCAGAGGGGAGAAAACGAACGGAACGCTGTTGGCTTTCTCCCTCCCTTTTCCGCACCTCTCTACCATAACCATGCTGCTGCCACTGCCCCCCACGCCACTGCCCCCCCCACCGCCGCCACCGCTGTTCCCCCTACACACCACCGCCGCTGCTGTTGTGCCCCGAAAGGGCGGTGTGATCTGGGGCTGCTTCCCATAGCCCTGTCTGCCCGCCACTGCCGCTGCGCACGTGCTTTGAAAGGGATGTTCCAGGGGTGCTTCTTTCTTCATTGTCCTGCCGCTCGCAGCTCTGGAGTTTGCCCAATAAGTTCTTCCCAGAAAAGGTATGTTTGTGTGAGATAGAGACAAGGGAGGAAGCACAAGAAGGAAAGAGCAAGAAAGGAAGAAAGAGGAAGGGAGAGAAAGACAGAGAGAAAGAAAGAGCAAGAAAGGAAGGGAGAGAAAGAAAGAGAAAGAAAGAAAGAAAGAAAGAAAGAAAGAAAGAGGAAGGGGAGAAAGAAAGAGAGAGAAAGAAAAGGGAGGAAAGAGAAAATTCTGTGCTATTATTTTTAATTGTTCCATTATTTATCATATATTAATATTTTGCACTATCCCTACACCTAGAGTGATTTTACTGCCTATCTTTTGCCCAGGTATTTTTCAGGGTTTACGTCAATAGTCTAGAGCATAAATACAGGTGCGTTTAGCAGAATTGAAAGGGACTACGGAGGTCTTCTAGTCCAACCCCCTGCTCGGGCAGGAAAACTCTGAGGATGCCAAAATCTGAATAGAGGTCCTGGGAAAGGTGTCAGAATAACATTTAGAAGGGACCTTGGGGGGAACTCTATACCATTTCAGAGAAATGGCTGTCCAGTTTTTTTTAAAAAACCTCCAGTGTTGGAGCACCCAGAACTTCTGGTGGCAAGCAGTTCCACTGGTTAATTGTTCTCACTGTCAGGAAGTTTCTCCTTACTTCTAGGTTGCTTCTCTTTTTGTTCAGTTTCCATCCTTCTGGTGCTTTGGAAAATACATTGCCCCCCCCCCTCTTTCTGGCAGCCCTCTAAAAGCCTGTTGCCTATCACCCTCTTGGGCAAAGCAGGTGAGCCATTTCCTCCTTTCAGTGGTCCATGAAAGTACATCTATAGTATGCAGATAATAAAGTCAAAAAAAAGGTTAACAACATCTTTACAGAACTATAGATACGTTGAGGCTGAGTGTGACAAGGAATGGCTGGGAGGAGAGGGGCCAGGCGAGGCACCCCTTGATGTGAGTGACATTGAGTTGGCCACACCCACCCAGTCACTTGACCACCAAGCCACGCAGCCAGTCATGTGACCACCAAGCCATGACCACCCAGTCACTTGACCACCAAGCCACCCCACCCAATCACGTGACCCTAAGCCATGCCCACCAAATAAGGGACGCCCACAGAACTGGTAGTAAAAAATTTTTTTGAATCCCACCACTGATCATGATCCACATATCTGGATTGCAATCACATGACCTCAAAGATGCTTTGATGGCTGGAACTCCAAGGATCAGTCATAAGTTGAACAATTGCTGAGTGAGTGGTGGTCATTAAGTGAGGACTTGAACTATTTTAGGCTTTCAGATTTATTATTTACTCATGTTTGTTTTAGGTAGCATATTTTAAATAGCTAGCAGGCAGAGATAATAATTGTTAGTCTGGAGCAAAATAGAATGTTCTTATAGTATACTACTGCTCTTAAAGAGCATCCGGAAGCTCCAGTTGGTGCAAAATGCAGTGGCCTGCATGGTTTTGTGCAGACCCCGGTGTGCACATGTTTTACCTCTCCTGCGGGAGCGGCATTGGTTGCGGGTTTGCTTCTGGGTGCAATTCAAGACGCTAGTTGTCACCTTTAAAGCCTTTCATGGCTTGGGACCAGGTTATCTGAGGGAACGTCGCTTGCCGGTCACATCTACCTGACCCATTAGAGCGGGGAGACAGGGAATGTTGTGGGTCCCATCCCTGAGGGTGATACACCTGGTGAGACCCAGAAGGGCCTTCTCTATGGTGGCTCCCTCTCTCTGGAACATCATTCCCTCAGAGATTAGAATGGCCCCCTTTCTAATACTCTTCCGGAAGGCACTGAAGACCTGGTTCTGCCAGTGGGCCTGGGGAACCCAGAGTGGGATGGAGCCTAGCAAATGGCTTGTGTGATCTGCTGTCATCGGGGTGGGGGTGGGTGGGAGTTGGGGGAGGTTATTTATTTTTTCCCCAGATTTTGTTCTATTGTACTTTATTAATTTATTTGATTCTTTTTGTTAGTTTTTTTTTTTTTTTAATTTTAAAAATGGTTTCACATTCTGTTAGCCGCCTCAAGTTGCCATGGGCAAATAGGCGGCAATATAAATTCAATCAATCAATAAATACACATTGATCTTTTTATGTGGAAGTGGAATGTTTGGATGCTTAAAATCTGAACAAATATAAGTACAGTTGTAGAAATATATGCTGGGAAAGTACTGTGGTAGCTAGTTCAAAATTTAAGTAATACTTGGTCTCTAACAAAGTTCCCAGCATTCATTTTACTTCCGGGGGGATCCTAATTTAATAAATTAAAAGATGTAGCAATGTTTCTTCATGCTGTTTCCCGTCATTAATGTGAATTATGTATTACTTTTTTAGGTGCCCAGCACAGAAACATGCAGTCTTTTAGTGATGAAGATGCATCAATTGAAACTATGAGCCACTGTAGTGGCTTCAGTGATCCTGCCAGCTTCAATGAAGGTGGTATGTCAGCATTTGAGCCCATATGAAAAAATGCTTCTGATAGTATAGCCTCCCTTTAGAGATAGTTTGGGTGGGGAATGTAATACATCATTTTAAGTCAGTTCATAAACAAAACAAGATTTGCAAAGTATAAGGGCTGTTTGCAGACCCCCCCCCCCCCTTGTGCATTTATATCCTTCCAGGTATTTGTTCATGATTCTTTTCCATTTCTTTCTGAACACCCTTCATTCTAGACCCATCAAAGGTGAATTTGAGAATGGGAGGGTCTTAACTTCATTGTTACAAAATTGAAAACTTCAGTTTTGATACTGAAAATATTGGCAGAGGAATATTGTAGAGCAAAGAGATAATTTATTAAAATGATAAAATGTTGTCATACATATGTACCCGCTATTACCATGTTTCTTCAAAAATACGACCTGGTTTTATTTTCTTTTGACCCCTGAAAAAATGGCTAGGGCTTCTTTTCAGTCTTAATTTTTTTGAGGTGCAGAAAGCAGGAAAAGTGGGGGGGGGAATACTAAATCAAAATATTTTCCTTGTCCAGTATGAAAATAAAAAAAATTCAGAATACAGCTCTCTTTTTTTTCAAGGAAGCTGAAGGAACTAAATCAGTGGTCGGGGAACAGGGGTAAATTACCCCAAATGGGGTAAAACTGAAAATCCTGGGGGTAATGAGGACGGTCGCGCTGGCGCGACCGTTCTCATTACCCCCAGGCATTTTATTTCCGACATTCTGTTTGTATAGTTTACATACACAAGGACCTTCCTTTCAAATCAAGGGGGTAACGTAGGCGTTTATAAATTTTTTGGGGGGTAAAAGGTAAAAAAGTTCCCTGACCCCTGAACTAAATCAATTCTATTTCATGACGTAGTGCTGCTAAGATACTGTGTAGATATTCTGTTTTTTAAACAGTGATAGAACATCCATAAATTTTAATGACAGACTTAGCATACATTGAATGCAGTTTATATTCATGTATTGTATTCATTCTGCTTTTATAAAAACTATAGGCATGTCTCATATAATGATTAATCTATCATTAATAGAACATAACAAGATCTGTGATGAATAACTGGCCAGATAGAATTAGAAAAATTACACTCAGTTGAACTTATCGTGTTTCCTCAAAAATATGACCTACCTCAAAAATACGTCCTAGCCTGATTTTTTGGGGTGGGCTTAATATAAGCCCTACTCCCCCCAAAAAGCCCTAGTGAAGGGGTGGGTGTGGCTAGCACAAGAGGCAGCCCTTCCCTTCCCCAGTCACCTCATGGCTGCTTGGCCCCTTAATCATGGCCAGCGGATCGGCTGAGCCAGCGCGGGCTGGGAGTTCTGCCTCTCCAGGAGCCTGGAGATGTTTCCGGAGCAGTCTTCCCAGCCCAGCCCTGCCCATGGCATCAGGCATCCTCACAGCCAAGGATCCTTCTCTTCCACAGCTTACCTTGTGGCTCTGGGGCAGGCAGCGACCGCGGTTTGTGCTCTGCCAGGCCTGGAGCCAGGTTTTGCTCAGGCTGCTGTTGCAGTGAGGCAGATGGGGGTGGATAGAGGCAGGTGGGGGAGCTGATTCCAACGGGCCGCATGGCTTTCTGCCTCATCATAGCAGCAGCCTGATCAACACCCGACTCCAAGCCTGGCGGAGTACAAACCGTGGTTGCCGCCTGCTCCAGAGCCACAAGGTAAGCTGCAGAAGAGAAGGGCCTTAGGCTGCAAGGTTGCCTGGCATTGTGGCCAGGGCTGGGGCTGGCAAGAGCGCACCAGAAACATCTCCAGGCACCCGGAGAGACAGAACTCCCAGCCCTCACTGGCTCACCTGATCCGCAGGATATAGTTAAGATGGCGAGCAGCCATGAGGCGATGGCATGTGCCTCCTCCTGCACCTTAAAAAAATTAAGACCCCCCCAAAAGAAGCCCTAGTCATTTGGGGGGGGGGGGCAAAAGAAAATAAGACCGGGTCTTATTATCAGGGAAGCATGGTAGTCATCAGTTTTGCATAAGTTGTGCTTAAATTCAAATGTTAATATACGTTATATTCCATTTTCTAATGGTTTTTGTTAATCTCAGGTCCTGAGATTGATGACGAACCAACCCAAGAAGACTTGGAATGTAAACTAAAAGGGTTTATTGACTTGACTTTGGACAAGAGGTAGGGAAAATCTGAGAAGTACACTTGAGTAACTCTCTAGTTCATGGGTTGGAGGTCATGATAGCTTTATTAAATGTCCCTGAGGGCTTTACTGCTCAAATCATCTGCAAGATTGTTTTTGAAGCTATTGACAAATAACTTTTATGCCACCATTTTTACTAGTAATTTTAACTATTAGTAGTGTTGTAAATGTATCTAATTTAAATTTAGACTTCACAGTTTATTGCTTTCCCCCTTATTGTTTGTTGTTATTTCTCTCTCAGAAGTTTTCTAATAAAACTTGGAATTTTCCTTCGGACTTGTAAGAAAGGAAAATGCTGTGGGAGTTTGTAAAAAAATTGTCTTTCAAGAATGCGTTTGATACTTTACAATCACTATAGAACAGAGATTAAGTATTTGAGGCAGTTATCACAATTGGGACTATTTGGGAAGTTTTGATGAGCATTTTTCAAACTTAACATTGCAAAGTTTAGTTTCAGCTTACTAATAGACAATCCGGGATCTTTTTGGTCAACATTTCAGAGATAATTCCTTATCTCATGTTGACCATAGGAAATGTTTTCTGATATTTTATATCATAAAATGTTTTGTGATCATTTTATTTGCCAAACTTGTTAAATTTCAATATTATGGAAATCATGGGTTGTGTAAATTAGCCCATTTCAGGTACATTAGGTGAAAAATGCAGTGTTTCTCCAGGTTACAGACACAAGTTTTAGTAGTTTATAGCAGGGGTCTCCAACCTTGGCAACTTTAAGATTTGTGGACTTCAATTTCCAGAATTCCTCAGCCAGCCCACAAGTCATAAAGTTGCCAAGGTTGGAGACCCCTGCTATATAGATAGATAATATGTAATTTATAATTATGTGTTATTTACAAATGCGCAAGAAATCTACAAGAGGATTGTGTAATTTTTATAACTGATATTTTACCATGAATTTCTTCATTTTATCTCAAAAGTGCAAAGATGAGACAGTTTGTTCTTGATGGTCTTAAAAGTGCTTTGACATCAAAAATGCTATATAAGTTCATCCTGGAAAGGAGAATAACACTCACAGACAGCATTGAACGTTGTATCAAGAAAGGTAATACCATTCTGTCTTTCTGAGAAGTAATAGTCTGTTAATGAAGTCCATTTTTCAGATTATTTTATCATGATTTCTTACTGATTTTCATTGTAGGCAAGGGTGATGAACAGTGTGCAGCTGCAGGACTGGCTTGTCTGCTGTGCATACAGCTGGGGTCAGGAATTGAAAGTGAGGAAGTTTTTAAAACCCTCGCACCTCTCCTAAAGAAAATACTCTGTGATGCCTCAGCAAGTACGAAAGCTAGGCAAGCTGTAAGTATATCGATGCTAGTTATTATTCCCTAGTGATATTTCAGTAAGCTTTTAAAAGTCCACATGCTTTCTCTTAAGAGAAAGTAAAAGAAAATGATGTATTAGCTTAAAGAAAAGCTCTATGTTAAAAAAAGATGTTTATAAAATAAAAATAATAATTATTCCATAAGAGTAGTTTGGAGGGAGGGAGCTAAATGCAGTGTTGAAATGTAAAACTTGTATGTTAAAGAATAAGATGTATTAGACAGTTTTGACTCAAAAGAAAAAAGGGCTTTTTTGTTTTTAAAAAAGTTTAGTACTTTGAAGGAAAAAAGCAGGGTGAAACTCCCTCCTTTTTTTAGGCCAAATAATTTTTAAAAATATAATAAACTTTGTAAATAAAAATGGTGACAGTTTATAAAGATTGCTAGGTGCAAATAGAAATACACATTATTTCCATAGACAAAGTAATGGTTAACTTGATTACTTAATTTAAAAAAAATATTCTTATTTGGATATCACTTCTGGAATTTATGCTTGTGAAGAAAAAAATGAATCTTTGATCTTGGTTTTGTTGATTAAAAAGATTTGGGGTTATAGAAATGCCTAGTTGTATATTAATGTGTAAAAGCAAAAAGTTGAGGCTGGAGAGTGTTTATCTTGTACTGAGTTAGGAAGAGTTGGAAGTTAATGCTCCTCTTCTTTTTTCTCTTCTCCCTTGTATTTCACACCCCCTTTTCCCATTCCCTTTCCCACCTTTAATTTCTTATTTTCTTCTCTTTTATATATAATAAAAAATTTGGGTATAAAACATGCCTATTACCTAGTCAAATATTCCAAAAACAAGCACTTTTGTCATCTTTGTTGCAAGTCTGCTGAATATAATTCATGATGGAAAAAATTCAAAAGATTTCTTGTCAGACAGGAAAACAGATTATCTATGGGAAGATTAGAATGAATTCAGCAAGCAAACAGCTCTTGAAAGTGGAAAACAGTAATGAATATATAATGTACTTCCTTGAACTTCAAAATCTGGTCAAAATAATAGCGAAGAGGTTAGACTTGGCCTAGTAGCATTCTTAGTCTGTTGCATTTTGTGTTGCTAGTTTCCTCTTAAAATACTGTAGTTTAGCACTGCTTGATTGGAAGTGTGATGACCCAGGGCAAGGCATGGAGGCAATAAAGCCAGCTGATAATTTGAACTCCCGTTTATTGCTCCAACTTTCCCCCAATCGCTCCCATGTTTATGGCAAGTCCCGGGAGCAAAGGGCTCACACACACTTCCAGCAGCCTCACACACAGTCCAGCAAAATGCTGTTAGCACAATGGCTTCAAGGCAAGAAGTCCAGCGAGGCAAAGAAACAGCAGCAAGAAGGCAAGAAGTCCAGTGAAATCCAGACTTTGGCAACAGCACACAAAACTCCATGAATTCAGTGCTTGTTCCTGACAAGCGCCCCTCCTTAAAGCATCTCCTTAAATCTCAGTCCCCAGGTGTGCCTTAGGAAGGTGCTCTCCTCCCAAGTCATCTGGTTGGCCTGCATTGCTCCCACCTCTCCACTCTCTGTGCTTGGGGTTCGGGGGGGTGGGGTGTCCTTGCTCATCTCCTGAAATCTGTCGGTCCTCATCTCCACTGCCTTCCTTCTCTTCTCCCCTCTCTTGGTCATCCCAAGCCCTGTTTTTCCTGCTGGCAAGCCACCTCACACCCGAGGGACCCAGGGCTGCCTTGTCTTGCTCCTCCCTGCGTTCCTCCAGAGCCAATGAGGCTGCCCTCTTGACCTCCGTCAACTCTGGCTTGTCTTCCTCCGCAGACTCAGGCTTCTAACAGGGCCATGACAGGAAGTATATAGATAATGTTGCTGTTCTAGAATGGGTTTTTTTTAGATTTCATAATCCAATTTTAAGCCAAATAAAACTAGATCAGCTACAATGGACTTATGGATATTGATCACTGTTATGAAAATACTAGAAAAATAAACATGATTTTTAATTTCTCTTTTCTAGTCTGCTACCTGCTTAGGTGTCTGTTGCTTTATTGCTACGGAAGATATCATGGTAAGATTTTTTTTTTGTTAAATATTACTGTTTAATGCTCAGTTAAATGTTTGCTTAATAGTGTTTTATTAATTTCCAATTAGGAATTATATTTCACTATGGATTGCTTGGAAAGTATATTCACAAAATCCTACCAGGAAGAGAGAAATCAAAATGGTATTTCGAGCACTCATAACACAGGTCTTTATATAAGCACTCTCTTGGCATGGACCCTTCTGTTGACCATCTGCCCAATGAATGAAGTGAAGAAAAAGCTTGAAATGTATGTATTGTCTTCCTTGATAGTCATCTTGGGAGTGAAATGTGCTGAATCATTCTAATTATAGGTTAAGGGTAGGAAGTAGCCTTATCTAAAACCCTATTGGTTTACTTTAACAGGACACAAAAGGAAGAAGAAATGGCATTTTTTCTCCTTTTCTCTATTTTAATGGTTTTCCTTTGGTTGCAATTGTTATGCCAACAGGTTATATTTTGGGGAAATTGGAAGTTATAATATTACAGAGATTGTGATACATAAATGGAATGTTCTCTTTTGATCTCCATCAATATAGAGATTTTGGTATGCAAGAAAAAAAAGCAGAAATTCTAGTTGGAAAGACTTTCTCTTTAGTCCTGGAAGTAAATCAGAATATCTGAGGGCCCTTGGAATTTAATTCTGTGCGCCATAACACTATATCTCAGATCTGCTTTATCATGTTCAATGTATTTATTGTAAGTATTTTGATTTTCCTAGACATTTGCATAAATTTCTTAGCCTGCTGTCCTGTGATGATGTAAACATGAGGATTGCTGCTGGGGAAACGTTGGCTGTTTTATTTGAACTTGCAAGAGAATCTGATGAGGTATATCCAAAGAAATAGAAGGCAGGAAGTAGGGAGAGATAGTATTTGGAATGGTGCTTTTATAATATTGTTTCATTCAGATGGGAAAATGAAAGGTGTTGGTAAATCTACAACTTCTCAGGTAGTATTGAATTATAATATTGCAATATTGGTATGGAGGAATTTTGAGAAATCTTCAACATTTGGAGAGTTACAGATTTCTCCATCTGTATATATGGTCACTCTTAAATAAAAGCATACTAAACCCTATCCATGTAGATAGCTCAAATTAAGCATACGAATAACTTTTTTGGTAGTAATCATGATACATAAATTATTAAAATTCTATTATAATGATTTGCAGTCTTTAATTACAACCTCTTAAATGTATTAAACATATGCACTGTTTAGTACAAACAGTAAACTGAATCATAAACTTTTGAAAGTTTTGAGTCTTTTAAACTATATACAGGGGTGGGATTCAAATTTTTAACAACCAGTTCTGTGGGTGTGGCTTAGGTGGTGGGTGTGGCTTGGTGGTCATGTGACTGGGTGGACATGGCTTGGTGGTCATGTTATTGGCTGGGTGTGGCCAACTCAATATCACTCACATCGAGGCACGCATCTCTTCCCTGGCCTCTCATGACTGGGGATGCTGCAACAGTCATAAGTGTGAAAAAGGGTCATAAGTCACTTTTTTCAGTGCCATTGTAACTTTGAATGGTCACTCCACATAAGGAAAGTACCAGCAAAGGAGGGGAAAAAAACTCCAGTAAAGTTCCTGAGACAGGAAATCTAGTCCTGCCAAGAATGTAATAAAGGTTAACGGAGAGGCAGTTTCTGTAAGCAACACCAGAATGTTTCTTTCCTGCATTCCGTACAGGATTAGGCCAGTAATTTCTCCTAACAGCCAGTTCTCCGAACTGCTTAGAATGTTAACAACCGGTTCTCGCGAATAGGTGCGAACTGGTAGAATCCCACCCCTGACTATATAGATTGAGACTTCAATAATTTGTTTAGTTTTAAGTAAGTCTTTATTAATATCTGAACTATTTTTTTTAACAGTGTTGAAAAATAGTCTCAGATTATTCAAAAACCTATATTTGGAAAATAGCTAGAAAAACACATGGCAACAAAGGATAAGAGAAAAAGAATAAAGGAGTCAAGAAAACTATTGTGCTGCACGGTTTTTAAATATTACTGTGATGTATGCAGTTGAAACTTGCAATTTCATGTTGAGCTATGGCAGTTTAACTTTGAAAGAAATAATAATGAACGTGCAAAGCTTTCATCCTTTATGGTAGTATCTGACTTTAGTTAATGGAAATTGATCGTAATATTTTCTTATATATGGTTGTCATTGTTCTTGCTGAAATAACAGGTCTTCTTTTTCATATTTATAGTTAATAAATAATAGCCAGTATAACAGCTGTTAAATTTTCCATTAACCATAACTACAGTGATTGGGGAAATTTATACATAAAATAGAATAAATGGCAAGTGAAGGTGAGTGAGATGAGATGAGATGGAGCAGAAGGGAGCAAATACTTGGCACTGAATAATTGATATCCATAGAAGTAAAAGGTGTGGGACAAATGGCTGTTTCAGAAGCAATATACAGTATTTAGAATCTGTTTAACTAGAGTTCTTGAATCAGCTTTCTAATACAAATGCTATTCATTTGGAAACATATTAATGCAATGGAGTATGATTAGCTTATACTAATATAAGTTTAAACTGCCTCTGCTAAAGTCCATTGTTTGGAAATGGGTAGAACTAAAACATTTACAAAAATCTCATTCTGCTTAGAGAATTCAAAGGAAACTGCATTGGTACCAATCCTTTCAATATTGTGATGCGGTTAACTTAAATAATGATATCCTGTTGTGTTATAGCTTAATGATTTTAAACAATAAATCATAATTATGACAATGTGCAAGTTTACAGCTTGGTCCTTGAAACTTGAGTGCACTTCATTAAGATGCAACAAACAACTTCTGTATTTCTTTAGGATTTTTTTAATGAGGATATGGAGCTTCTAACACAGAAATTGAAGGCTCTAGCTACAGATGGAAATAAGCATCGTGCTAAAGTAGACAAAAGGAAACAGCGATCTGTCTTCAGGGATGTCTTACGAACTATAGAGGTAAACTAGAACCAGTGGTGGGTTTCAAAATAGTTTACCATGGGCATGGCTTTGTGGGCGGGCACACACTTTGCGCATGTGCACAAAATGCACTTTGCGCAGGCTCAGAGGCTTTCCGACTCATCTTCTGCAATCCTGCACTCCCTGTCGCTTCAGCAGCTGACATGTGGCAATCTGCTGTGCCGCACAAAGCAACTACGATTCAAAAGCAGGGAATAAAGGTCAGTATGGGTGGACGGGTGGGCCCAACAGCAGCTACAGCAGCTCCTTAGAACCGGTTCGGTCTCCACTGATCTTCGGCGCTACCAGTACCCCAGAACCGGACCGAACCGGTAGAATACCACCACTGACTACAACGAGGAATAATTTTTTTTCACCTTACCTCTTGAAAGTAATTTTAAGGCCTGATTTCTTTATACACTTGCATGCAAAGATATTAGACTCCTTGCTCAAATTCTGTTTCAATTAATCCTTAAACAAATAGAAGCGGAGATAATACCTACATGGGGTGCTAAGTTAAGATTTTCCAAGATGGCAGCAGTGGAGGAAGCAGATCACGGGGAGAGAAGAGTGGAGGTATTCCCCGTTAGGAGAATGAATGCACTCAGGGAAACGTGGTGAGAGTGGTGAGGAATAACACATGACCAGCATACAGGTACACTGAATAGTAAAATGTAGGTTTTACTTCCAGTAAACGGGTAAACAAAGTCCAACAAACAGTCCAATTCATAGACGGTCAAAGCAGTTAATATTAGTCCAAGGATAGTCCAAAAAGGAAGTCAAGTATCATAAACAGAGTTCAGTAAATGGAGTTTGCTAACAGTTGCAAGACTCACAGCATTCCAAGTAGAACGATGATCAGGCAATACAGCAAAACAGGAAATGCAAGGAGAAAGAAACCAGGTTTCTGGCTCCATCTTATGGCCGGAACAGTTCACGCCCCAGAGTTCTGAAGGAGCTGGCAGATGTTATCTCAGAACCATTGTGCCATATCTTTCAAAAATCCTGGAGCACCGGGGAAATACCTGAGGATTGGAAAGGGAGTGATGTGGTTCCCATCTTCAAGAAAGGGGAAAAATAAAACAAACTCAAGAAAAAACAGACCAATCAGTTTTGCATCAATACCCAGGGAAATACTAGAAAAGATAATTTAATCTGCCAACATCTAGAAATGAGTAAAGTAATAACTAGTAGCCAGCATAGGTTTTTAAAAAACAGATCGTGCCAATCTTACCTCATTCTTTGATAAAGTCACTAAATTAGTTGACCAGTTAAATGCTGTGGACATCGTATACTTAGATTTCAGTAAGGCATTTGATAAAGCAAATCCACAACCTACTTCTTGGTAAGCTAGAAAAATGTGGAATAGACAACATCACCACCAGATGGATTTGTAGGTGGCTGACAAACCATACTCAATGAGTACTACATCCACAAGGAGAGAAGTAAGTAGTGGGGTATACTAAACCAGCAAGAATAGCCAACACCCAAAAAGAAAAGCTTAGTATCCAAAAAGATCTTGACGAACTTGAACAACGGGCCCTATCCAACAAAATTTTAATGTGGAGAAAAGCAAAGTTTTACATTTAGGCAGGAAAAATGAAAGGCATAAGTACAGATTAGTCAAGGCCTGGGTCAAAAAACAGTAACACAGAGGGACCTTGGAATCGTAGTGGATGATCACTTGAATATGAGCCAGCAGTAAAGCTAATACAATCCTGAGTTGTATAAACAGGCATAGAATCAAGATCACAAGAAGTATTAGTACTGCTTTATAAAACCCTAGTAAGACCACATCTGAAATACTGCAACCGATTTTGGTCACCATACTACAAAAAAGATGTTGAGACTGGAAAAAGTTCAGAGAAGAGCAACTAAGATGATCAAAGGCTTCGAGACTAAAACATGATGAACGGCTGCAGGATTTGAGTTTGGCTAGTCTAAAGAAAAGAATTAGGGATGATATGATAGCAGTATTCCAGTATTTGAGGGGCTGCTACAAAGAAGACGAGGTCAAATTATTCTCCAAAGCACCTAAGGGCAGGACAAGAAACAATGGTTGGAAACTAATCAAAGAAAGAAGCAATCTGGAATTAAAGAGAAATTTCCTAACCGTGAGGACAATTAACCAGTGGAACAGCTTGCCTTCAGAAATCTGGGTGGTCCACTGGATGTTTTAAGAAGAGACTAGACAGTCACTTATCTGAAATGTTATAGGTTCTACTTGAGCAGGCACACACTGGGCCAATCCCAGTGAGACAAGATAGTCCCTGGACCCATGCCATGAAGAGTTTTAAAGGTGATTAACACCTTGAACTGCACTTAGCTAAATTTATGGATACTGTTTTAAAGATAAAATAAATTGGGAGCAGTTTTAGTAGTGAATTTTCCTGGACTTTCCTTGACATCAATGGTTCTGTGGAACTTGTGTTTCTGAACAGTGTTACTTAATAATTCTATCTGCTAGCCAGAAGCATTTAGAACTTTTTTAATGGTTTACTCTGCTCAGGAAGAATGAAGCTTCTGTTCATTGCTTATTTTTTGCATGCCACTGTATGGAAAAAATGCTTTACAGAACCAAGATATGCCTTTTTGTAATATGTCTTATTTTCAATTCGTATTACTGGTAGCATCCATCCATATTTGTTTAATGCTAAGTAGTTGTATTATGTAGGAAAAACTTGTACTATGGTGTGTCTTTTGTGAAAGGTGATACTTGTCTAATGAAAACAGTCAACTGTTCAATTAAGTTGGCAAAAACAAAAAAACTTTTCCAAATCTTGGATTCTTGTTTTAAGCACTAAACTTTAGAATATCTGCAGTATTAACCTTTTGGGAGTAAGTTTTAGTTTAAAATGTGACTCACCGATGTTTAGGATGAACAAGAAGAGTGCAAGATTTTCAGCAGTGTTTAGAACGTTTTGTGCATTTCTGTATTAGTAAACAAGTCTCTTAAGAGAAAAATCTGTTGTAGCCCAAAATATTAGAAGGATGTTCAAGGAAGGATGGCTTAGAATTTAAAAAACAGTAAATTTGATACAGGTGTTTTTTCCTTAACAGGAACACGACTTTCCCACAGAGACAATCAGGTTTGGACCAGAGCGCATGTACATTGACTGTTGGGTTAAAAAGCAAACATACAATACTTTCAAGGGAATTTTAGGATCGGGAATGCAGTATCATTTACAGGTATACATTGAAATGAAATTATTTTGGCACCCTCTTGAATCTACTCTAAATAGCACAATGCAAAATCCCTAAACCAGTTTTTAAATTAGACAATGCATGTCTGCATAATAAGGGAAGAAAAATATATAGGTAACAGATATATTAAATATCAAACATTTGCACAATTGTAATGACAACATGTTTTATGCAGTCCAATGAGCTCCTCCGGACTATCTTTGAACTTGGTCCACCACTGATGCTTGATGAGGCAACCCTTAAGTCCATGAAGATAACCCGTTTTGAAAGGGTGAGTGATTCATACTCTGTTGTGTTAAATTATCTTAAATGCAATTCACTCACAGAATTATTCAAAACCATAATGACATGATAATATTTATGTTGTGAAAGAGGGAGAGTGTCAGATCCGTGTATCTGTCATTTCTTCAATGGAAGAAGAAAAGGGTGAGGACTGATAAATCCTTCTTGATGTAACCTGAATATATTTAATATCAAATTTGTATAACCTGCACGATACAATGGAGGGATGAAACCCAGATGGCTGGAACCTATCACCTCTGGGAGAGACAGCCAGGGGATGAAGAGACCATAAAAATTCCAGTGAGATGTGTCCTGGGAAACTCTGAAAAAGATCCTTCTAAAAAGTGGTGGGAGGAATTAACATGTTGGCTCTTTATTTTACTAAATACATATCAACATGAGGGGAGGTATTTTAAACTCCCTTATCTATCTCTGCATGCCTGAGAGATCTTAGACGCTGCTTTAAATCCCTACATGAATTGTCATCTCAATAAAGGATTCCTTTTGATACTTTTGGTTTTCAGAAGTTCATTCTTGTTAATTGAATGGGAAAAGTTCTGTAGCCTGACAGAGAGGGAGCAATGGGAATCGAATTACAAGGTTTTGTGAGACCTGCTGAATTGCAGATTTGCACTTCTATAGTATTCCATCACTGCACAGACTTATTTTTTACTTAAAAGTTTAGTTCCAGTTAAAAGAATGCTAAGATAATCCAGGGAATGATCCGGTATCATTCCTTTATTCTATCCTATGTTCTTTGTATAAGATATTTCATTGCCCGTGTTATGACTGAAGTGGTACTGTCTTGTATCTGACATTGGAGAAATGTGATGGGTGTCAGAATAAGAACTTTTTCAAGGCTGAATTTTAACTTCTATACATAGTACTATAAAGAAAGAAGTGCGTGATTGTATTAATGTTTAATACTGTTAATACTCAGCTGTATGTCTTGGCCCGTGGTGAGTAAAATGTTGCTGTGTCCTCCCTCTCACAGTGCCTGGAGGCTGTTAGGGGTTGGATGGGGAGCAATGGGTTGAAACCAAACCCTTGCAAAACTGAATGGCTCTGGTTTGGGGTTTGTTGGCTCAAGGAGAATTGCCACCTTTGGTCTTGGATGGGGTGGCACTACCCCAAACAGACCTGTGCGTAATCTAGGGGTTTTCTTGGACTCATGACTCCTGCTCGAAGAGCAGATGGCAGTCGTGGCCAGGAGGGCCTTTACGCAACTGCAGGTTGTGCACCAGTTACGCCCTTTCCTGGACCAACAGTCCCTACTGACAGTCACTCATGCCCTAGTCACTTCACCTCTTGATTATTGCAACGCACTCTACATGGGGGCTGCCCTTGAAGAGCATCCGGAAGCTCCGGTTGGTACAAAATGCAGCAGCCTGCATGGTTTTGTGCAGACCCTGGTGTGTACATGTTTAATCTCTCCTGCAGGAGCTGGAAAATTGCTGATTTGCTTCCAGGCGCAATTCAAAGTGCTGGTTTATCACCTTTAAAGCCCTTCATGGTTTGGGACCAGGTTATCTGAGGGACTGTCTCTTGCTGGTCACATCTATGTGACCCATCAAAGCAAGGAGGCAGGATATGTTGCGAGTCCCATTCCTGAGGGACATATACCTGGTGGGACCCAGAAGAAGGGCCTTGTCTATGGTGGCTCTCTCTGGATCTTCATTCCCGCAGAGATTAGAATGGGCCCATCTTCCGGAAGGCACTGAAGATCTGGTTCTGCCAGCGGGCCTGGGGAACCCAGAGCGGGATGGAGTTCATCAAATGGCTCCTGTGATCTGCTGTCGTTGGGAAAGGGGGTGGGACTTGGGGGTGATTTCCCACCCCCAGATTTTATTTATTTATTTATTTATTTATTTGATTCTTTTTGATAGTTTTTATTGTTGTTTTTTTTAAATATAGTTTTACATTCTCTAAGCCGCCTCGAGTCACCATGGGCGAATAGGTGGCAATATAAATTCAATAAATAAATACGTTCATCTTGAATGCAGTTGGAGTTGGTTATCACCTGGATTTGAAATAATTAGAAAATTCGGGGTGCATTACTACCAAGGAGATTGCAGATTAACTTGAAAAGCTGTCTAAAATTTCTATGTCAGTTCTGCCCCTGCGTGTTTTCCAAGTAATTTTGCATATAGAACTTTTGTAAACTGGGATCTCTTGATAATAAATATTCCAATGATTTTGCTTTAATTTAGGATTACTGAATGAAAACATCTGTTAGGATTTAGTACAGAAAATAAAGCAAATTTAAAGTTGGGAGTGGAATGTAATTCTAGCTCAAAATAAAAAAAAAATCTAATTTACAATATATGCATTAATGGAAAATATGTTAAAATGGATTTGTTGAATAAAACCCAAAGTTGTCAGAAAAATATTTAATGTTGGCTAAGATTTATTATGATTATGATTGTACTTTCCTGTTTTCGTAGCATATGTACAACTCTGCAGCATCCAAAGCTCGGACTAAGGCTCGCAGCAAGTGCCGTGATAAAAGAACAGATGTGGATGAGGTGTTCTAGAAGAAGTCTTCAAAGCCCTTTAACATTTTTTTTGTTAAATCTACTTGTTTGGGTACAATTAATTTTAGCGTACAGAGTTAAATAATCTTTTTAATTGTGTCAGTTCCACATTTTGTACAGCACTTGATGTATGTTAAATTGGCTTATATAGTATAAATGAGATAGGATGGTAGGAGAGAATTTCCTGATAAATATATTGGGTAAAAATCAACTTTTTACTTGGAAAAATTCTTAATATTCAATTAGTACTGAGGACACTCCTGATTCACTTTTTAAAAATTTTCATTGTAATGTAATGAAATCTTAAGAAGCACATTATTTGGAGATGAGTGTCTCTTGATAAAAGCTGCTATTTGACAATCAGTTAAACATTTTAAAAATAAATATCCAATTTATTACAGTGACATGAACATAATAGGGCAATATTATCAAATTCAGTTGATATATTGTTAATGAAGTAGCACACAAATGTTTGACATTTATATGCTGAACTTGGGGAATAAAAATATCTCTGAATTTTTGCATGAAATGTGTATGAATAATGAAAATTTTCAAATATAAAAAAATTGTCCTGGCTTTTGTTATTCATTCAATAATCATTGTCAAATATACTCCACAACATTCTGCTTGGTCAGCTATTGGTACTATTGCTATGTACCTGTATCTGCTGGAAGGGTAAGTCGCATAGTTAACTACAGTAGTTAACTGCTGCCTAAATGCAAATTGGGCATTTTGAAAAAAAGTACTGAAGCAAAATATTTTCCTTGCTTATTCTTTATTATCCAGAATTGTGCATGCAACTTCCTACTTCAGCATTTTTGGCAGCATCTGCCTCTGAGCATATATTTAATATGGTTTCCCACCCCAGTTCTATCTACCCTGTTTTAATTTGGTCAACAGTAGCAGGAGTTAAAATGAATGATGCACCCTAACTCTATTGTAAAAATGGGAAAAACCGAGCTAATCGTGGAATGAGAAATGCACCAAACAAGTGTTAGAAATTCTTCTATTGACCTGACTCTGAAACTTGATTTGATTTGCTGTGTGTCTTCTATGGATTTGCCCTGACAGCATCCTTCATTAAATATCAAGTAGTTTGCAGTCTTAATGAGTAAGAGAAATAAAAGTAAATGTAAAAATATAAACAAAAAATTGTAAAAAACCTGTAATATAAAAAAAGGAAAGTGGAAGTACTTGTAATAGAGCAGTGCAGTGTCCTCTTAAATGTAAACAGTTTGCCAATTCTAATCAAAGGAAAGAAAAGGCAGGTGATACTATATTAACAATTATCTGCTTCAAGAGAATGAAATACACATTAATAACCTAAGCATTGTTTTCAACTGCTTCCTAAATGTTGGCTCACCCATCACTAACAGATAACAGATAATCAGAGTTGGAAGGGACCTTGTAGGTCATCTAGTCCAACCCCCCGCCCAAGCAGGAGACCCTACACCATATCTGACAAATGGCAGTCCAATCTCTTCTTGAAAGTCTCAAGTGATAACACTCCCACAACTTCCGAGGGCAAGCTGTTCCATTGGTTGATTGTTCTCACTGTCAGAAAGTTTCTCCTTATTTCCAGGTTAAATCTCTCCTTGTTCAGTTTCCATCCATTATTCCTTGTCTGGCCTACAGGCGCTTTAGAAAATAGCTTGACCCCTTCCTCTCTGTGGTAGCCCCTCAAATATTGGAAGACCGCTATCGTGTCTCCCCTGGTCCTTCTCTTTGCTAGACTAGCCAAGCCCAGTTCCTGTAACTCTTCTTCGTATGTTTTAGTCTCCAGTCCCCTAATCATCCTGGTTGCTCTTCTCTGTACTTTTTGTAGAGTCTCAACATCTTTTTTATAATATGGTGAACAAAACTAGATGCAGTACTCTAGGTGTGGTCTTACTAAAGCTTTATAGAGTGGTATTACTACCTCCCTTGATCTTGATTGTATCCCTCTGTTAATACAACTTAGGATTGCATTAGCTTTTTTGGCTGCTGCTGCACACTGCTGGCTCCTATTTAGCTGGTTGTCCACTAAGACTCCAAGATCCCTCTCACAGTTACTGCTATTGAGCCTGGTTTTACCCAGTCTACATGTGTACTTTTGGTTTTTCTTGCCTGAGTATAGGACTTTACTTTTCTCTACATTGAATTTCATTTTGTTAGATACGGCCCAGTGTTCTAGTCTGTCAAGATCCATCTGGATCTTGAGCCTATCTTCTTGGGTGTTAGCTATTCCTGCCAGCTTAGTATCATCTGCAAATTTGGTAAGTTCCCCTTCTATTCCCTCATCTAAGTCGTTAATGAAGATATTGAAGAGTACTGGGCCTAAGACAGAACCTTGTGGCACCCCACTGCTTACTTCCCTCCATAGAGACTTAGACCCATTAAGGACTACTTGTTGAGTACGGTTTGCCAGCCAGTTGTGAGTCCTTCTAGTGGTGGTGCTATCTATTCCACTTTTTTCTAGCTTACTAAGAAGTAGGTTGTGGTCTACTTTGTCGAATGCCTTGCTGAAATCTAAATGTATTATGTCCACAGTATTTTGCTGGTCTACTAATTTAGTCACTTTGTTGAAGAATGAAATAAGATTGGTTTGGCATGATCTGTTTTTAACAAACCTGTGCTGACAGCTAGTTATTACTTGTTTCTAGATGTTGGCAGATCTGTTTTTTTATCATCTTTTCCAGTATCTTCCTGGGTATTGATGTTAGGCTGATTGGTCTATAGTTTCCTGGGTCTGTTTTTTTCCCCTTTTTTGAAGATGGGGACCACATCAACTCTTTTCCAGTTCTCTGGTAGTTCCCCGGTGCTCCAGGATTTTTGAAAGATATGGTGCAGTGGTTCTAAGATGACCTCTGCCAGCTCCTTTAAAACTCTGGGATGTAATCCATCAGGCCCCGGTGATTTGTTTTCATCAAGATCAGACAGGTGTTCTCTTACTATTTTTTTTTTTTGTGTGTGTGCTTATTTTAACTTTTATTTCTGGTCTGTCTTTTACAGTTATGTCTTTGGTGGGTTGAGCTATAGTTTCTTTTTGTATGAAGACCAATGCAAAGAATGAGTTAAGCAGTTCTGTTTTCTCTCTGATGCCTGTTACTTCCTTGCCTTCTTCTCTCTTTAGTGGACCAACTGTTTCCTTGATTTTTTTCTTGTTATTTATATGTTGGAAAAAACTTTTTTTTATTATCTTTGACTTTTGTTGCAAGTCTTTGTTCGTTCTGAGCCTTTGCTATCCTGGCTTCGTCTTTGCAGATTCTGGCTATCTGCTGATATTCTGCCTTAGTTCTATGTCCTTCTTTCCATTTTTTGTACTTGCCCTTTTTTTCTTTCAATTTGCCAGAGAGATTTTTGTGCAGCCATGCTGGTTTCTTCTTGGATTTCTTGTTTTTCTTTCTCAGTGGTATTGGGCTGGTCTGGGCTTCTATGATCATACTTTTCAGAGTTTCCCAAGATTCTTGAGTTGTTTTCCCCTTTAAGATTTTCATCCATGGAATCTTTCCCAAGTTCTCTCTGAGTTTATTAAAATCAGCTCTTTTAAAATCCAAGACTGGTGTCATTATGTTCTATTGCTTGTGTTTGTGTTATGTTGAATTCTAGTATGACATGGTCACCCTCACCCAAGGTTCCTGAAGTTTCAACTCCCTCTATCACTTCTCTGTTTGTAAGAATTAAGTCCAATATAGCTGTCCCTCTAGTTTCACCCTCTCTACCTTTTGGACAACAAAGTTGTCAGCTAGGTTGGTTAGGAATTTATTTGATTTCTCACTTGGTGCAGAATTAGTTTTCCAATTGATATCAAGATAATTGAAGGCTCCCATTACTATTGTTGTGTGTTTCCTGCATATGTTTGTTAGTTGGTTGGCAAAAAGGACATCTATTTTTTCTCCTTGATTGGGTGGCCTATAATATACACCTATGGCCATGTCATTCTTTTTTTTATTTTATATTGACCCATGTGCATTCTAGGAGGTTTTCATCTTTGGTTTCATGCATTTCTGTAGCACTTTCTCCTTTCCAAAGTAAGTTGTTCTTCTAGGACCATGATCCCTGGCTTATTTGAGTTATCGTTATCACAACTACCTTGACCTGTCACTTTAGTGTCCCTATTAAGGTCAGCAAGGGCACTGTAACTGTTATGCTGGGACACAGCAAAAGCTTTGTGTTTATGGTCCACAGCTCTCACCCTGCTAGATCCCACGGTTGTCCATATTGCCCTTTTCCTGTAGGATCTTTGTGGTAGTGGGGGCTGATAGCATGGCAGCTCAATAGATGGCTGGATTGGGCACCTAATTTCTGCTTGGAGAGCACAGATTAGAGATTCTTGATAGGTAATCTGTCCATGTAGACTGGTAAAGTTTTTTACAAAGAGGATAGTATCCAAATTTGAAAAGAGTACTGCAAAAGACAGCTGTAAAGCAAGTATTGCACTGAACTAAGCCAGTCATTTTGAAATAAAGTCACAATCTCAAGTGCATTAACCCTAAATGTATTGTTGGTATTTTTGGTTTATAGTTAGCCGCTATCTTTCTCCTTTGTACTCACCTGCTGTCTCCTCACAAGCAGCCAGCAGCTTCTCCCACCAACCTCTTGGAATTTGAAATGCAATGGAA